ACTGAAAAAATTGTAAATATGCATTTCAGAGGTTCTAATGGTTTTGAAAATGCAAACTGTGTGATAGAATGAGGTATTTTTATTCTTCACATGAACATCACCTCAAACTCTGTGTCAGACGTCTTTAATTCACAGATATATCTTGTGCACAAATACGTTTGTAACCCATCTGATTTTTTTGTGTACAACAGACCTGGATATATATATTACTGAAAGCTTGCCAGATTTCATGTAGATACACATTAAGTTCAGAATTATAGTCAACATTCCTTCTCCACAGTATTAGATATTGACATGGTGTGTAAAGTACGAGGAAGTGGCCATATTTCTGTGAATTATTCTTTGTACTTATCTAATGGTAGTGGGGTTTCTTGCCCCTGGATACCAGAACTAATAGAAAAGTACAGCGATTTAGGCTAGTTGCTGTTTTATGATGACAAAAGTAATTTTTTGTCATCCCTTACGTGTGTATACTGTGTGTGCAAATGCATGTATTTGGTAGTTTATATTGTGATTAGGATGGATGAATATGGCAGAAGTGGCATTTCTGCCAATGTCCATTTGTGATTGTTGTATGGGCACACAGTACTTCAAAAAGTAAGCTCTTAACATTAAAATGAAACATTGACTCAACTTCACAATATGACTGGAAACTACTTCCTACTTGGATCGCACTTTTTCTATAGAATTGTGCATTGTTGTATCATATCACTGAATGATACCTACAAGGCCTTAAATTTTACTCTGTTCCAGAGTTTTCATCACTGACTTAATTCGTATCACCCAAAGTCTTAGCTGGATACGATGTTAGTAAAAACAGATCATTCTAGTAAGCTTAGGTTGATAATTGGCATCTTTGACAAGTGTGTAATTACCCACCCACACAAATATTTTTCTAAGTGTCTGCAATGCTATCAGGTTTTTATGAGCTTCTCATTTTCACAAGATACTAAAATTGATAATTAAAACCTCAATGAGTGAAAATACTTAACTGATAAGTTGATTCAGTTTGTTTATTCATTCAGGCTTAGCTTGTAGACAAAAGTCATTGTTTATCAAGACATATTTTATGTATCATGATTATTTTTATTGAATAGTATAGTTTCATTTATTTAAGAAAAGAATCATGCCAGTTCATCTTTCCAGTTGTATAATACTGAGCAATTTAACAATTCTAAGGTATGTTATTATGCATGCATTAGTGTTTAACATTAGGCCTAACTACTAACACTACCAAATTAATATATGTACACACAACTATACATTAAAAGATACCTTTTCTCTTTCCCTGGAACATAATGCATTTGTTATAACTTGCTACATGAATGGTAACTGAATGTTCATACCTTCTTATTATATTTACTTTTAATTTATGCATCTGGAATGTATAACTATTCTAATACTCATAAAGTACAATTTCTTACTAATGTGAGTTTGTAAATTTTAAAACAAATTTCTACCCCTAATTAAGTTTTTAACGGTCTGATAATAAACCAAAATCATTCAACTATGCTATCATCGTACAGTTAATTGAGTTCCATTCACAAAGACACCAAAATAGACTCAACTTGGTTAGACTGCTTCGAAATTATGTAATACAGATAAAATGAATTCAGAATCATGATACAACACTTTATTTTTGTGCACAAGGTGTACCAGTAACATAACACCGTGGACTTCATGAAAGTTAAAACCTTACTGTCAAATTAAACATGGATGATTGTAATACAAGTTCTAATCTGTGGAAATGCACACCAGTTATATTTATTACAAACAAATCCAATGGTACGGAAATCACAAAACTTGTATTCGTATTAATAATAACCCACGTTATTTCAAAAATTCACAATTATTTACAATTCTAAGACACCAAAACTCGCAGAAAGGTTCTTAATTAGAACAAAGTTCAATCAATCTAATTATGCCGTGTAAATTACCAACAACTAAATTGAAAATGCTGCAGAAGCAAAAAAAAAAATGTTCAAAAATACATTCATAAAATCAATAAAATTGAGTTTAATTTCTGGAAGTACTGTCGTTTTTTCATTGGACACTCAAACCGACGTTAGTGCTTATTACCTACTAGGAAGGATGCATAAAATCAAGTGAAAGTTTCTTTTATAGCCAAATAAAATTAAGACTAACCCCCCCCCCCAAAAAAAATGTAAGAGATTCAGACGATGGTACGTGAGAATATACCTGTGCAACATTTGATGTAAAAGTGTAAAAAATACACTTAAACATTTTAAAATAAATTTATTTATCAAGGTTTGCAGTAGGATGATGAGATTTAAAATGTTAGCTACTTTGTATACAACAAGTAGAGAATACATCAACATGTAAATAGACCCTCTTAAAATTAAGTTGGAATTAATCAAAAATTCATAATTACAGAATTTCCTAGTTTATTCAATTTAATAGAATTATTTTTGGACCATCGTTTTCTTCGTCATAGATTATTAACAAACCGTAATGAATTCTACCACACTATTATTTTAGTATAGTATGCTGAAATTACGTAACCAACTAACAAAGACTGGCTCCATACACTCGCACATAACAATAAGTTTGCGAATAAAACTGGTACTAAATGGTTAGTCAATTGTAAATTCATATGTAAAAGTAAAAGAAAACATATTTTTCTAAAATGCAATAAAATCAGTTATTTGACTACAAAAGCATTAAAGTGCTGTGAATGTTTTTTTTTTTATGTTTCAGTGTACATGACTACAAAAGTGTTGAGCTAAAAGGTGTACACTAGGTTGTATCCCTCCTATGTCGAGATGGTACTTAGAAACCGGTGCTGAACTTTGGCTTTATTGGCACTAGCAGATGAGAATGGGGACACATTTCTCTACTACATGGAATGCCAGTCCATCACGGGTTAACCTGGGTAGTCCGTTTTGCCTCGAACTTGCAAACTCTCGATTACGAGTCCAAAGTGCAAAAAGCCGCTGAACCACGCTGCTCCCCTAAAAGGTGTACGCAGGACTGCAGAAAAATTGTGAATTTTGTTCTCTAGTAAAGAAACTGGCCAACAGATGTTCATCTCCATCAGAAACAAATATAATTTACAAATTCTAATAAATGACAGGCCTTATCCAATAATCTATCTGCTAGAAGTCGAGATTTACCATTTCCAAATTTGTGTGACACACTGTAAGTCGTTAGAAAAAAAAAAGAAAATTTATTTTACTGTACTATCACTTCTGTTATTGTATAGATATGAGAGACAAGACCTAATGGAAGTTTTAATTAGTATATTTAAAGAAAGTGTGAGTAAAATAAACACAATTTTATCATATGGTGATGCCATCTTTGATGGAAGTGTTACTCTTCCATCAACAGATACAAAAATATTTCATAACACCAATATTTCTTTGTGTGTGTGGGGGACTGTATAGTGCATATTTGGTTTAAATATTATTTTTATTGTAAGGTAAGGCATAGACTGCAAGTAGCAAATTAGAAGTCTGTCGCCCCAAAACGTTTGAGAATTCTGCAGTCGTGATGAACACATTTAAGCAACTACAAGAACAGTGACTATTGTTACAGATTTAGAGAATGGTTAGTTAGTACAATGTTTCCCCTTTCTTCTTCAGTGCACCAAAAAAAACTACTACTGGTAGTTATGTAAACTGATATTTTTTTTCTTTGCTTTTAACCTATTATAAAGGATTAATGTGGATTTAGCTTGGCCATTCCAAGTCTCAAAATTTCAAATGTAGGTAGGGATAGGCTTTGTAATTTTGTATAGATACTGATCAGGTGATGGGGACAAAAATGTTGAAAGTGAAAACAAAAATTGGCCACTAGGGTGCACTAAATATATCTACATACAAACAATATAAAAGCTGCAGAAACTTGTTTTTTCCAAGATGGTTCCGAACAGTCTGTCTCTGCACGTTAGAATTGCAATTGTGAAACTTTATACCATCAGTGAGCAATGAAACCATGTTCACGTGAAACTGGTGCTTCAGATAGGTTCCTGATGCAGTTTCAATACAGTGGTTGCCCTCCAACACCAGCCGAGTTGTCGTGGGAGTTGGAAAAATTGCAATTGATATTGCAACACCAATGAAATTGCCAAACATTGTGGAATCCCAAAAAACAAGAGTCTGTAAGGTGTGAAATAGGAAGTCTACACACTGGGATCAAAGGATAAACTTTACACTCTTGAGCTCGTGATTAGAACAACCATTGATGACAAATGTCTTGACAGAATTTTTATGGACTGGCGAGGCTCATTTTCTTAACTGGAAAGAAACAAACAGCGTAACAATCATTGCACGGTGAGAAAGCCACGACATGGGTCAGATCCACAACCATTCTTCTTTAAGGATGCCATCAATTATAGGTTTCAAACTGTGACAGTTAACATTTTCAATAACCACATTATTACTGAACTTCAGGGAATAGGGTTTTTTTTCAGTTAAATGGGATACATGCAAGGTGGTGCTTCACCCTATATTACACCACCTGCTATCACATTGCTGCTAAATGTGTTTGACAACTGAATAATCGATGGGCACATTGCTTTCATTACTGAAGTCATTGAAAGATAACATCCACCTGCACATTTTTGTTCTTGGATGGGTTCATGTATCACCACCTCTCAAATATGGAAGTAATGGTCACATCCATACATCACATTCAACCATCCTCCTGGGTATATTTCAATAAAAAGTGCCACCAATGGCAATGTTTCATCACCAACATTTGTCCTAATAACCAAATTAATGTATATATATGAAATTTCGAAGCCCAGCAATACCTACATTTGGAGTTACGAGACTTAGAATAGGCCCAACTAACTTGATACTCATAAAAAAAGTACTTCCTTTTCAACACTATCTTTTAATTAACATTTTGTTTAGTTTCAACTTGATTTCATTTCAAAAACTTTTGTTTCCAACCACTTCTTATTTAAGTACACTCTTTTTGTAAACAGTGTATCGTAACCGATTAGTTTCCATAGTTAATAATCTGTTTTCAGTACAGAGTTATTTTTATCAACTCAACACTGCATTACAATGCTTTCAAGCTATCACTCTGTTTTCATATTTTTACACCCCGAAAGCAGCTATTTAATCTTAAACGTTAAAAGTGAAGTACGTTTTTCAAGCGTACTGTATCACTATCTTCTAGTCATCTAAGCAGGTTAGGATTTTACTCTTTAAGATACAATTTTTTTTTGTCTTGATTCTGATCTGAATTGATATAATCTTCATTATTCAACATTAGAGTCCCACTCCATACTATTATCAACAGAATCTTCTCCCAGGTGCGAGGTGCACATATTTAACATTTCCTGCACCAATTCGTCGATAACCTTTCTGCCTTTTTCAACGTCATCCATCACATGGTCCTTAATGGAAATTTTTAATAAAAGCTGAATGTTGTCTCTCAGACGTTCTAGTTCAGACTGGCTGTCGTGGTACTCTACAGGTTGCTGTCCCATATGTTGAAGAACATCATCCAGTACACTGTCTATGAGCTTTTCTCCCCAACCAAGTTGTTCCATAAGTTCTGGATCTGCAACCAAAAAGAAGAGCAACTGAGAAAAGTTCTTTCTTAAAGCATCAAGTTCTTCTTGTTTGAAATTATAATTTTCCACTTTCTCCAGCAGTTTTTCTGATGCATCAGTGGTGGTCTTTGGACGTTTTGAACCTATGTGTATTTTATCGGAGCCCGTTATTTCTTCACCGTCATCAGCTTTACTCTCCTCGTTACCAACCAACTCCGTATCAGTTGCAGTTGTATAATTAAACGATGTAGAATGTTTCTTTCTCACAAGTTTGATCATCTTCTTTCCCCAACTTTTTCGATAGAGAATTCCTGTAGCTAGTTTTCCATCTGGAAGCTGACAGGGATGTTTTCGAAAACCGACGACAGTATTCTCTTCCTTTCCACACACTTTACAATGGAATGGTTCATGAATGACCAAGTGTTCTCGATAATGTGCTCTGTCCTTGTAGCCCCGAGGACAGTAAGAACACTGAAATTTATTTTTTGAACCCTCTTCTGCCGAAAATGACTCGAACTTTTCCACAGATTCTACTAGGCTAGAATTTTTTACAGATTCTACTAGGCTAGAATTTATTACAGATTCTCCTTGGCTAGAAACAAGTTCATTTTCCAGATCAACATCATGCTGCTGAATGTTTAACTTTACTTCATGACTTTCAAGATGTTCAAAAAGAGCTTTTACGTCTGAAAAAAAAGCTGCACAATAGAGACAGTTGAATGCAATGTCCTCCTCATGAGACTGAATATGTTTTTTAAGAACCCTAGGACTGTAAAACGTCTGTCCGCAAACATAGCATTTCAGCTGATGATTAACTCCATGGAAGCTTTCAATGTGGTCAATGAGATCTTGATGACTTTTAAAGTCCACACTACACTCTTCACATGTCTGTAACTTCTTACAATATGCACGCTCGTGTTCACGACAGATATCCAGGGTGATAAAGGCACAGTGGCAGTATCTGCATTGGTGCAACTCCGAACTTAGCGTATCATTTAAGTCAATCCTCTCAGAGCTGTGCACTTTACGACAACTTTTTTCGTGCCATCCAAGGTCTTCGGGAGAAACAAACTCCAAAGAACAATGAGCACAAGTTAAAATATCCATTGATGTTACCGATTGTGGATTCGTGATGGTGTCAGGAGGGCACGATTTTTCAAAATTTGACTGTAGAAGGTCCTTGGAATTCTTTTTGAGAGGGCAATAGTGGCGAATATGAGCTGTATAATGTTGTTTTGTTGAAAATGCAGTTTGACATTTATAGCAAGAAAAATTTCTGGTGTGGTCTTCCTCAGTCTTCACTTCTGGCTCTTGTTTTTCTACACTTGGTTTGGAATAATTTTTTTCTTGTAAAATTTTTGAAGGCTGAATACTTTTTTTTGCAACGTTTTCTGGGCTCTTGATCTTAGTATCAACTTTCACATTTGATTTTTCACGAGAAGTGACCGACGGAGTAGATTTTCGGTCAATGAGGGTCATTCTTTCCTGCGATAAAGTATCACCGTCTGTGGAGCTAATGAACCTGGTAGTACGATCTGCTTGAAGATGCGACAGAAGGTGGGTTTGTACCTTCTGGTGGTGATCAATGGTCTTCCGACAAATCTCACAACTGTATGGGTTGCATTCATTGATCTCAGAAGGGTCCAAATTTTGGGCTTGAAAATGACTGAGGCGATGAGGTACAAAAGTGGCGATGCTAGAGTATGAAACATCACAAACAGAACATTTATAGCTTACTGAAGCTCTTGTGACTGACAAGCTTTTTGATGTTTTTGATTTAACTTGTCTCAAAAGTAAATTCTCTCGATGAAACCGGGATTTCCTGTGACGATGTAGTGCAGTCATTTTGGTAAAATTATGAATACCACAGATTTCACATGAATATATCCCACGAGCAGTGTCATCAGGTGACAAGATAAGCCCTGGTTTTGGATAATGAAATGGTTTTGGCTTCTTCACATAATCCTCTTTTAAAATCTCAACTGATGGAGCTGGTTGACTGGATACTAAGGAAAGATTTTTAATTTCATAAAGAAGGCTCGATCTTGAAACTCCTGAATGAGCCTTTCCGATGTGTTGAATCGTTTGCAATCGGGTGGGAAACTTCGTTCCACATCCAAGGCACTTGAATGAAAGCAGGTCATTATGATTTTGCTGATAATGACGAGTAAGGTGTTCTGAACGAGCAAAACATTTATTACACCAGGAACAAACAAATGGTTTTTCCTTAGTATGACATTTTAGATGTCTGTCACGTACATAACACGAAGAATACATTTTGAAACAGAACGGACATTTTGTAGGATACTTTTTCATCAGTGCAAGCATGGCAGGCGTCAGAGTTTCTATACTTTTCTTGTAATTTTCGGGATTGTTTGGTGTTTTCTCTATCGATTCTGATAAGCTTTCTACATTTGAAGGTTTTGGTGTGGAAGTATATTCTCTCTCCAAACCCACTGATGAAATTCCTTGGTGTTCACGCTGGATATGCGCAACTTTTTCGGAGGCATCTACGTACTGACGAAAGCAAATGTCACAGGTAGTCTCATCTAAAAATTTTTTTGCCTCTTTTGGGTCAGATTGCATGTGAACTGACCTAACATGGCCATTTCGACGTCCAATGTAAAGAAATTCTTTCCCACAGAAAGGGCACTCGCACTCACGGGTACGAGACAACATGGATCCCCAATGCTTCTCTGCTTTTTGATGTTTAAATAGACAAGCAGGATTAGAAAATATTTCTGGACAACTTGGACATTTTACGGGATGGTTAGAAGCAATGAAACCTGGATGCAACTGCATGTGCTTAACAAAAGATTTAGCACTCACAAAAGTTTTATCACATAGCTCGCAAACAGGGGGCTTTATATCCGACTCGTATTTTGTTTTCTGTCGATTTGATGTCATTTTTTGATACTTTCTTAAGATTTTGCTGTGTACACTCTTGTAGTAATTACTTGTATTTTTCAACAACATGAGTCGTTTCAGCTGGAATGCTGTTCCTCTGGTCGCAGAGTTCGAGTTGTAATCTGGCCGGTGGCATGGTCTTCCTAGCTGAACGATTTCGAGTTGTTAAGAAATGCTGGCGTAATGGAACACATGGAAACTTTCTATTCAAGTGTTTCCTCAGGCGATAAACTCTTGAAAACATGTAGCCACACTTTCTACACTGATACCCTCGTTTTGATGGTTTCTTTGGTGTATGGCACAGAACAGGTTTCTTGGATCGAAGGTTCTTTCCAATATTCGAGTATTGAACTTTATCCACAGACTTGGTGTCCATGATTTCTGCACAAGAGGAACTTTGCACGTGCTTTCGATACAGATAAGGAAACTCAAACAACATGCCACACTTCTCACATTTGTTTTCAGTACACTCTACTGAATTTCCTGCGCTAGTAAAACTAGCTTCCTGTTTTAGAACATTTTTTTGTTCAGACTGTTCCGTAGCTATTTTTTCTGTGCTGGACACGTATGCAAGACAAGAAGATTTTCGGTTTTCATGAGCTATCAGGTGATGAATGGTGTCAAAAATTTTCCCACAGTTGTAGCACGTGAAGGGGCGAGGCCTGCAGTAACCTTTCCTACTCAAGTGAGTCTTGTAATGAAGAGCCGAGCGAAAATTCACTCCGCATACCTTACATTTACTGGGAAAATTTGAAGATTTTTTAGGTACAGAATGAAAACCTCCTTTCTGTTTATTAGAAGGTTTAGGCTCTGCTATTTTGTTTTCTGTGTCGAGTTTATTTTCAGAGGTGGCTAACTGTTCTACTCTTTTTATGCACCTTCTCAGATGTTTAACATACAGTGGATAAAACCTGAAATGATATTTACAATTAGGACAATTCCAGGATCCCGAAAGACGCGACGTGTGCAATCGACCACAACGATTATCTCGTTTATGTCTTAACAAATTAGACGATGAACAAAACGTATAGCCACAGTCCTCACATGTCCTCGTTCTGGTGATGCCTTTTTTACCGATACCTTTTCTTTTTTTACCACTAACCAAATTAAAATTATTTTGGCCACCAACTGTTTTAATGTTGATCATTACAGGAGTCTGTCTTTGTGATTCCTCCGTTCTGGCCTCAATATCCATTCTGCATCAGCTAGCTGGAAAGAGAAAAACATTAATATTTTACATTCTTGTCATATAATAATAATATATAAAAATAAGAATTCAAGGCTGCATTAGAAACGTTACCCAGCTAAAGGTGACAGAATACGGGTTCACTGACAACAAACCAAAACTTAAAAATATATTTAAGGAAACAAACAATGCAAAAATTAATTTGTAATAGCTTATATAGCATGAAAGATGTGACATATAAAATGACCCGTCACTCTGAGAAATAATACGAGTCTTGGGTGATACAATTGATGTGGCTGGTACTGTGAAAAACGGTACATGAATTGGAACCTAGATCTTTCTCCAACTTTCCAATAGGTAAGATACTTGAAAGAAAAGACTGATACGGATATAGCATGACTATGGTTGTAAAATTTATGTGGCTATTAATGCAAGTAGAATAAGCTGAAGATAACTGAATGAACAAGACTCTTAAACCAAGATTTAAACCATTACATGACACACAGAAGCTTGGTGTCAAATCAATTATCATTCAAACATTGCACTTTGTAAAGATTTCAACCATTACATGACACACAGAAGCTTGGTGTCAAATCAGTTATCATTCAAACATTGCACTTTGTAGAGTACGTATTATTTTCACTTTATATCCTAACTACTTTCACCGTTAGCAAGTTCTTCTTGATTGATGTAGTTTTATATTGAATTACAAATTTTTTCGATATTATTGAGGGGTCACGTAAGAGGAGTAGCACCATTTTCAATTAACAATAGTAGCTTTAAGTATCTGAAGTCACACCAAAATGTAAAACATTTTAAAGATCTTTTATTAATGGTCAAAAGACAAGCAGAACATAATTGAAAAGTAAGAGATTGTGCTAAAATGAATAAAAGTAGATGTACACAACTAAGACTTTGACAAAAAAATTTAAGAAATGCTTCAGAAATTCAAGACTGTAAATAGGGAAACATCTTATGCGATGTAAAACATTAATACAGTATTAATCTAAATACACAGAGGGCCCACCAAAGGATACTGAAGATGTAAAAATTCTCTGTCACCTCAGAAATTTATATGCCACTTTTGAAAAACCTGTAAGAGGTGTACCATAAATTTGAGAATGAAAAAATTTTGTTGCAACCATTGATATATAAACACTTGTAAGGAAATTATGGAGGTTAAGACGGTAACGGCAGAGAAACTTGTTGATGTCAAGATCATAACAATAGAGAAAGAAACTACAAGTCTGAAAACTGAATTAAAGGTTAACAAAACTAGTGATACTTTAAGAAATACTGCAACCTAACATAAGAAACCTGAAATAATTACCACTTTATCAGTCAGGAGTATTTACTGTTTCCAACTATTTTTGGGTTAATATACAAGAAGGTGTGTCATCAGCCAAGCTCAGGTATAGAGCAAAGAGTCTGCTGAGGATGGGTAACGAAGAAAACTTTACTACAAGTTTAACACAGTAACAAATGTACAATGTTTTAACAAAGTTTTGTTATCATTGGTTACCGAAATAAAACCTTGTCAAACCATTGTATGGGTAGTGGACAAAAAAAATGGAAACACCTGTGTAAAAGATGGACAACAAATATATGCAATGCCGAGGCTACCACACAGGTGTGACTCGTCCATTAATTAAGCAAAATGGTTGAACAACAGACAAGAGATTCTACAACTTTAACAGACTTGATAACAAAGACTCAACTTTGAGACAATAAAGTTGAATAGGTAATGATGAATACTCGATATTACAAGTTTAACATAGTAACAAATGTGCAGGTAGTGGCCAAAAAAATGTAAAGTCACTTAATAGGGTGTTGAGCCACCACGTGCGGCCTGTACGTGCCATGGCATTGAGTCTACCAGTGTCTGGAATTCTGTAGGAGAAATGCGACACCACATTATGAGAAAATGCCCCATCATTACTAAACCACCAGAACCCTTCACTGTTTTAACCAAGCACTCGGGGCTGTAGAGTTCTTTAGGTTGGCACCACATGTGCACTCGTTCATTTGTCAAGAATATCTTGAAGGATGATTCATCTGACTATATCACATTTCTCCACTGCTCAGTAGTTCATAGCCTGTGCTCTTTGCACCACTGTAAGCACAACCATCAAATGCACCCCAACAATCACCCCTCTTTCAATCTTTGAGGTTTCCTCTTACAGCCATGATTATAGGCAACTAGTCCTGTCCAGCATTTTTATACATGACCCTATGCATGCTGGGATATTATTGAGGTACTAAGAAACCACTGATGCACATCAGACTAAAGCAAAATATATTAGCTTGACATAAAGAATACTAATGCTAAGGTTTGTTTTCTTGGCTTTAAGCATAAAGCTGCACAATGGACTATCAGTACTGTGCCCACTATGGGTATCAAAACCCTGTTTTTAATGTTATAAGCCTACATGAAAATACCAGCCGAGTCAGACAACCAAATAAAAAATATAATGCATCAACATTACGAATTCCCTTAACGATATTAAAGAACTGAATCAGATCTCCCCCAATTCTTCTTTTTCCAACAGAAAACAAGTTCAGAGATCTTAACCTATCCTCGTACAACAACATTTCCAACCCAGATATCATCCTAGTACTAGTAGTAGCCATCCTCTGAACTCTTTAAAACTTAAAACTTTAAAACTGAACACGATACTTCAAATGTGGCCTAACCAGTGATCTATATTCTATACACAGAAATTATTCAATATTTGTGTAGATACAACCTAAAATCCTATTTGCTCTACCACCAACAACAGAACACTGCTAGGATGGCTCAAGAGACTGATAAACTAGAACACCAAGATCCATTTGTTAATAATATCGTTACGATTATTCCCATCAAAATTATACAATTTATAATTCAAATTATGAAATCTCACATTTATTATAATTAAAAACCTTCTGCAATTTATTTACCCAACTCACCAAATAATCCTTTTGTAAAGTAAAGCAGGAGCATCCTCATAGTAATCAGCAACATCAAAGACCTTAACACGTTTAAGTACTTTTTAAACATTTGCTTAAATCTTCATTAATAAATATTTAAGAAAAAGTAAAATCTTGTAACCCAGCCAGTTCATAATAACCACAAATGTGCCTTCCTTTATTATCCCTCAATGGTCTTACTCCAATCTTAACGTGATTATGCTTACTCTTAATGTATATAAACATTCCTTTCCAGTTATTATCTTATATTTTCAGCCAACCGTTTTTCATTTACACTCTTGATATCTTTATGTTCTGTTTAATCAACTCTCTTGATCTTCTATATATAATCCCCTAACCTAAGTCTCTCATCACAGAAGTCAATTTAAACTTACTAGTACTACATTTATCGCGCTTTTCTTTAATTTTATTTCTTATGTTCTTTGTGAGCCAGCCTGGTCTTTTACTTGAATGCTACTTTTTTTTGCAAGGCTCACGTCTATCTTAGTTATTTAAAAACAAATTACACACTTGATAAATATCACCAATTAAGAATAGTATAATATTAACTATAGTAATGCTAAGTAGTAAATCTTAACTAACAGGATACATTATTTTTTTCACAATGGATATAGCCCGCGGTTATTGTGTCAACTTTTTAAACTAAACTCTAAAGAAAAGGAAAAATTGCCTACTACTACTAGTAGTCTTATAGTTAGATTTCATTTCATTTGTATTTAAAAGAATAAAAAAACTACACTTAATAACAAAATAAAAATTCTCACCGAGGCTAAAACCATAAAACTATTTATTTCAGAATGTAGATCTGTCTTAAATAGTCAACCCTATTTTTTCCCCGCAATCACACTTTTCGTTTTATGTCACAATACCACCAGGCCAAGAGAACAGCGTTGCTACGCGCCATCTCAGATTCTGTTTGGTGTCGAACCGTAATATTGAAACACACTATGGTTTCGGAATTTAATGTTATCAAACTTTTTTATTATTCATTAAGTCTTTTGCATAAAATGGGTAAATAATAAGTTATGATTATTTGACGACACCTATATCAGTGCTATAGATATTAATTTTTTATTGAGGCTAACCAACAAATTAATTACTGTATTAAAGTTTGTTAATTGTATAAACATGATAATAGAATTATAATATAGCATTTTGACTTGACAATAAATTAAGCATTAAAATTTCACAACAAAGAACTTTCTTTATAATCCAATATGAAATAATTATCTAAGGCCGTAGGCAGAGGAATGATAATAAACCCCGAAAATTCATCTATTCCAACAAAAAAGGGAGACAGAGACAAAGAAAAGTGAGAGGGTTTATTCCCCACAAAGGGAAAATACCCAAAATGTTAAACGGAGTGAGAGGAGTAGCAACTTTATTGGGGGGGGGAGTAAATATTTTTTTAGGCATATTCCCCTCAAACATAAATCTTGGCTCTAGCTCTAGAATTACTTCAATGTGTATTTCTATAAATACGATAAACCTACAGACTTGTGTAAGTGACCGTTGTAACACTGTTGTGGACTGCCAATCTTCTTGCATTAAACAAAACGCTCATGGTATTATCTATCAAGGCTTTTATAAAATATTAATAATAATAAGTGTGTGTTTTAAACGGTATAATGCAAGAATGGGTTAACTATAACTTTGCCTATTGCATCTATATATACAAGCACGAATGTTTCTCTCCCTCCATGGGAGCCCCCAGTGGCACAGCGGTATGTCTGCGGACTTACAACTCTAGAATCCGGGTTTCGATACCCGTGGTGGGCAGAGCACAGATAGCCCATTGTGTAGTTTTGTGCATAATTACAAACAAACAAACAAAATTCTCAATGGGTCTGTTTCTTATGCACGGCCACATCTTTAATGCTACAAACTCGGGCTACATATATACAACATTGTGCAGGCAGTAACATGGGCTATGTGGTCGTGACCTCAGAGGCCGAAAGTTGAGGTCAAAGTGATCAATATAGCAATTTCGGGCAAATAGGACGACCAATTGGTCTCAAATTGAAAAGGCGAGTTTTTTTTTGGTAATCTGAGATCAAGAGAGCTATTATTTACGTTTCTTTTCTGTGTGAGAACTTCTCCGAATTATTCTATCCATAATCGGTTATGTGTTAAAATGATTTTAAAACTTCGTGGAGTCTTCGTTTATGCTCTTTCCCTCCCTTTCTTTTCTTTTTATACATACATGCCTACTCTCTAACTCCCCTTAACTGAAAAAGGTTGGTGCTTTCTTTCGAAAATGCCATCCCAATCAATCAATTAAATAGGCTTGCTCCAGCCATATATTTTGCTTTGCTAGCTAAAATCAGCTATACAAAGACTTTATAAAAAGTTTGGTATTGGCAAATTTTAATTTATGTCATGTTGCAACAAGAAAAGAATAAATCAATTCTTCGTTAAATGGAACGATAATAAAGTTAGAATACGCTGCAAACGACACTTGGCCAGTCGAAATCAGGGCACCAAAAGTAGGGAAACTTGAAATGTCATGCAAAGCACATGCAAGAAGCAGGAGCAACGAACCTGGTTTTGCTTTGATTAAAATAGCTTTAACAGATTATTTTTTCCGGACATAGTTATCTTTATTGACTTATTTAGTTAGGTAAAGAAATCGTTTTTTTTGTGCAAAAAATCACGATTAATATGGTTGATTTAATCAAAACAACTCGGGATATTTAAAGCCATTTTCATCGGAGAAAAGCTGGATACTTTATTAATTCCAACTAAGAGCATTTCAAAATGAGATAATTACTTTATTTTCAACCTTAACTAAGAAAATAAGTTTCATATTAGGCAAGTAAATTTCTATAGTTTTCAAAGACTTTTTTCGGTGTCGTTTTGTTAAGATAATACAAATGTTAAAGTCATATATAGGATATGAAGTATGGTTTAAAAAAATCTTTATTCATATATATATATATATATATATATATTTCAACCTATTTACAAACGTTAACCAGTCATTATGGTATGTCTCACACGCAGAGATAAAGATCTGGACAAATACCTTTTTGTCATAGCATCTAGCTGACTTGTTACATAATCTTTTGAGCAAGGCTAAATGGGCTCTGGGTGTAATGGTGATGTATAGAGCCAGTTATGTTAGATATTCTGATATCTTATTTCTATAAATGACATTAATGTCTTGGTATTCTGGAATCAACTGTAGAACTTAAAATTTGTAAAGTAATTTCAAGCAAAATTAGAAATTTCAAAATTACCGTGATGTTTGTACTGTGAAGTTGTTAGTATCGCTTTGGTTTTCATTTTATCCTTTTGTCAGAAATAAAGTTCCAGTAAAAGCATAGAAATCTAACTAATACAAATAGAGATTTTCTTTGTCAATAGTTTTGCCAACCCTTACATTTTACATGCAGCGAAGTTTATGTATTGTTTTTTTTCCATTCGTAAAAAGAGTGTCAACCTCCATTCTCTTGGTCGAGTCATTCTTAATTCAAATCTCGTTTTTCAGTCCTAACAAATCTTTTGTGATTGTGGTTTAACAGTTTACCTGTTGGTTCCAGATCCACCTTAAAATGCCACATAGGTAGAAGAAATGTGTTTGTCGTAATTTTCAAGGAATATTATAAGAAGTTTCCAGTTTTGTTTTGGTAGTTTCTTTAAGCCCCTTATCAAAAACCAGTTCTTTTGTTCCAAGGATATTGTTGTCAGTTGGATCTAAATCTTCAGACATTCAGTTTTGGTGCTGGCGAATGTCTACATTTCATTGTATTTCTGATGAATATATACGTATTTGTTTTCTTGCAAAGCCACGTTGGGTTATCTGCTATGCCCATCTTAGGGTATCGAACCCCAGAATTTTGTGTTGTAAATCCATAAACGTATCACTGACCCACCAGGGTGACAATATAGATACGTCTGTAACATTCAGTTCGTATTCGAAGCATGCAACGATGATGGTTGACTGGTAAGCACATTTTCTACTCGGATTTTGCTTAGACGTTTTCTTATGATACTTGGAGTTTCACGTGATTGAAAGTGTTTAGTGTGACTTGTTTAACAAAGCGCTGGCAAAATGAAAATTTATTGAAAGTGAATATAGTTTTAACAAGTCATGTTTTAGTTCTGTTTGTCTTAATATGATTCTGAGGCCTTCCTGTACTAGGCTTTAATTTTCTTTAAATATTTTCTTTTGTAGTACCTCTGGTGGCATGGCTCAGTGGTAAGTCTGGATGCTTACAACGTTAAAAATCGGGTTTTTAGACCTGTTATAGTCAGAGAACACATAGCATACACTGACTTCCCTTCAGAGTAATCAGGTAGGTTCTACAGAGAATGTTTTGCGAGAGTAAATATAAATTATCTGTCCTGGAGTTGTGACTGAAAGTAACGTGAAAACTATTTATTCAAGAGACAAACAAACAAACTGAGTTCTATGAATTAAGGACAGTGCCTTTACTGGAGACTTAGAAAGATCTGTCTAAAGTCAATGAAAATCTGTTCTAGATTGAGAAAACATAGCATTATATAGATGAAACAATAACCAGTGCTCTTCCTCCCAGAATGTGTGCACTGTTGGTCATTCCCATCAAAAAGCAATAGACGTTGTGACCTAAAAGTATCAATTGACCCACCAATAAAAAACATCACTTTCTACTTTCACACAGCATGTTCAACTATACAGAAGGAAGTCTTTCTCATGATAATGCGTATGTGATAACCTAGATAAATTACACAGTTCACTAGGTAATTAGGGTGAAAGAAACTTTAGTTTCTTGACCAAAATTCTATGTGAAATCTACATACACTTATATGCATGAAAATTTTGAAAACATATATATATACGTTAAATAAAAATGTGGTTTAAAATGGCATTATGATATCAAGTGAATACAGTTCAACTACACAGATGATTATTCTGTAGAATCGTTTGGTTTTTGGCCAGATATTGGCAGTTGAGGTTGTTGTCCACGTTCCAATATTGTAGACAGATCACAGTACGACTGAATTTACCACGAATTTGAAAATTTGTTCCGTTAACATATAATACAGAAGTGTTATTCCTTTTGACACATACCAAAAAAAAAAAACTAAAATATGATAGTCTCTAAATAAGCTGTTTAAAATAACGAATTAATATCTAAAAAAATTATCAGGATCGTCAATGTTACAAAGTAATTTATTGAAACATTTGCAAAAAGGCGAATGCTTTTCATTCTTTAACTGGCAGGGAAAATTTTCATGGAATTTAATATATAACGACGTTAAATATACGAGTTTAGGTTTTATAATTATAACACGAATTTTATTTAGAACGGTCAATTATTTCTTTTTTTCAGTTGTTAATAAAAGGCTACACAGTATTTAATTTGAGTTCTGTTCACCATGCAGAATTGAATCCTGGATTTTTTTTTTTTTTAGCTTTGTCATTTTTTCTTAAGAAAATCAGAACTCACTTATTTAAAAACGTAATAATAATCATTTATCGACTAAGATTTCCTGGCTGTAACCACATCAAAATATGGTAACAAAAGCAACGTGAATAAACCTGTGCTATTCCCCAAACCTAATACTTGCAATACTCTCAACCATGCCTCTTTGTAAGTTACTAGAGGCACAAGCAATAAGGGATATTCCACCACAACCCAACACGTTGTTTACGAATTAGTTAGTTACTGGTGAAATTTAAAGAATTCTCAAATGTCGTGGTTGAAACTACTGAGATTGTTTTCCCATGTTTAAATCTGTGGATACAAGTATAATAGCGGGAAACACACACTTTTACCACTCTTCACATCATTACACAAGGTGGTTTAACTGCATATGCTTTAGAATTTCAAATAAAGATACGAAAAGGCTATATATGAACAGTTTTCCCTCATCTTGGATGACAGATTAAAAAGAGCTGGTCAACAGCACCTACCTACA